GTGCTGGTCCGTTGGCCAAGTGTTTGGCATCTCTCCTCTTTTTGAAATAGAAGGTCAAAAATACTTGCAAATTTTGGATTGTCAAACTTGCCTGTTTAGAGTTTTAATTTTGCAAGATACTTGGTGATTAATACATACAGAGGATGACTCCCATTGGGCTCAGTTGTTGCTGATGGTGTTTCCCTGTGTGAATAAGTTGGACATCCAAAAAATGCAAGCCTGATAACGTAAAAAAAGGTTGAAATGACCTGTTCTGGCACTGATGGCAATGGGATGCTGTTCTCCAAGACAATGTTTGTTGCTGTGAGAGTCTCCTTTTTGTCCTCCGCTCTCATTCACTTCACATCGCGGAACGCTGTGCCGAATGAGCAGTCCCCTCTCGGCTCAGCACTCCACTCCCAGCCTGCCTCTCCCTGCTTTCCCTATTAACAGAGGCTTTCCCCTCACATTCTTACATTTCCCAATCTCCCTGTGTTTTCACTAAGTCCCCTCCTGGGTCTGGCTCTCGTCACCCAGGACCGTGTGCCCTCTCACCCAGGGGGCGAGCCCCCACCTTGCAGCAGCGCAGCTGGGCTGGAACAGGGCTGGGAGGAGCGGGGCAGTGGCAGGAGCAGGCCGTGTCACTCACTGTGGAGCTTTTTACGTCCTTGGCAGCATCAAAAGGAGCATGGACAGCAGGGTGAGGGAGGTGATCCAGCACCTCCACTCTGCTCTGCTGAGGCCCCATCTGGAGTACTGCATCCAGCTCTGGGGCCCCAACACAAGAAGGACATGGAACTGTTGGAGCAAGTCCAGAGGAGGGCCACGAGGATGATGACGGGGCTGGAGCACCTCCCGTATGAAGACAGGCTGAGAAAGTTGGGGCTGTTCAGCCTGGAGAAGAGAAGCTGTGTGGAGACCTCATAGCAGCCTTCCAATATCTGAAGGGGGCCTACAGGGATGCTGGAGAGGGACTCTCCATCAGGGACTGTAGGAGTAGGACAAGGGGTAATGGGTTTATACTTAAACAAGGGAAGTTCAGGTTAGATAGAAGGAAGAAGTTCTTTACTGTGAGGGTGGTGAGGCACTGGAACAGGCTGCGGAAGGAAGTTGTAAATGCTCCATCCCTGGCAGTGTTCAAGGCCAGGTTGGACAGAGCCTTACGTGACATGGTCTAGTAGAAAGTATCCCTGCTTATGGCAGGGAGTTAGAACTAGATGATCTTAAGGTCCTTTCCAACCCAAACCATTCTATGATTCTTCATCCAGCTAACAGGAGGGATGCTAAAACCCAGTGGTGAGTTGTGGTACAGAGCAATCTCCAGGAATCCTTGCTATAGGTTTGTGACTTTGTGGAGGTGACACATAGAATCGTGGTGTGGTTTGGGCTTGCAGGAACCTTTAAAGGCCATTTAATCCAACCCCCCTGCAATGAGCAGGGACATCTTCAAGTAGAGCAGGTTGCTCAGAACTCCATCCAACCTAGCCTTGAATAGTTCCAGGGATGAGGCATCTACCACCTCTGAGCAACCTGTGCCAGTGTTTCACCACCTTCATTGTAAAAACTGTATTCCTTGTATCTAGCCTGTATCTACCCTTTTGTAGTTTAAAACCATGGCAGAGCTCTGTGCAAAAGGAGGGTTTCATCATGGGTGGGATGGCTCAGGCAGGCCCTGATGTACAGAGGAGCTGCAAGAGGATTGAGTGTTCCCAGCAAGGCTGTAAGCTGAAATTTTAGTAACTAACAAAAGTCTTAAGTGTGAGCAAACTGATAATTTTTATCTTCTCCCTGTCAAGCTTTTATCTTGGCCAGATTCAGGAAGATTTTTATATCGTGACAACATAGCCAAGTCATAGCACTTTCTCCCATATGAAGTCTCTCTTTAAAGATTTTGGAAAAGAAACTTCTTTAAAAGAAAAAGAAATAATGCAATAATAGATTAAAGCTTTTTCCTAGCCTCATTTTTGGAACCATTTTGACTGAAATTTTCTGTGAAGGGGAAAAAAAAAAAAAAGAAGAATCAGTCCAAAGCAGACAATTCAGAAAGGAAGTTTTGCCTTTGCTGGTTGAAATATGTTAAAGTTTTAAATAGCCCAACACAGGCTCTCATAGTGGGAAGTGTTGGCAGCTGTAAATATATAGTTACATCCAGCAGGTTAATACAGCATCCAGAGGGAGGATGCCAGTGCTTTCAGTAACATAAATAACTTCAAACACTCTCTATTTTAATACCTATGTGTAGTACTACTGCAGGAGAGGCTGGGTGTCTGAGCACCTTGCCATTCTGGTTGAGTGACCTCATGCTCCAGCTGGCTTTTTCCAGAGCAGTGGCAGGAGGTGGGCATTGCCAGTGGGTCGTTGTTGCATACTGGGACTTGTGCTGAAAGCTCTGCAAGAGTACCCCTGCCAGAAGGAGAAATATAGTTCACCTTTTTCAAAGCAGGAAACTTGGAGAATTCTGATGAGTTTGCATGCTTTCACTCCGGTAGCTGCCAAATTGTTCCCACCATTTGGAAATGCCCCGGTCTGCAGGTGTGTGCAGGCAGGCACAGGTTTGTGACCTTCTTTTTGGTCCAGCCTTGCTGCTTGTACTGCTGTTTTGCTGTTGGAGGACGTGATGGAGTACTTTTAGTGTAGGGCATAAAAAATTGTATAAAACTTGCCACTTTATGAGGAGATTAAAATGAGCTGTCCTGAGCCTTTGCTTGTCTGGATGGCAGTTCGCACCAAGAGGCCTGCGGTGCCTTAGGCTGCATCTTCTCATTTTCTTATTGGGCTTCACTCTTACAATGTCGAACTTGAAGTCAATTCTTTGTCATTATGCAGCTGCTGTTCTTAATACTTGATACAGTATACTGAATTGCATTTAAGCATGTAATGAATTACCTCAAATCTGAAAAAAGTTACCACTTGGAAGTATATGAATTGCAGTTCTATTATTACTTGATGTTGAGAGTTTTGCTGGTTTTCACAGAAACATCCAAAGTTACCCAGTGACTTAGACAATAACCAGTTTCTGTAGAAAAGGCATGAAGTTGTTTCAGAGATTATCCTACTTTCAGAGCCACCCTTGTGCAAGCCATTAAGAAAGCCATTACATTCATTCCATGCCGTGAGTTTCATTTCTGCAGTGAACATCATTGGGCCAAACTGGTCAGAGAATTATTACTGGCAGGGTGATTGCCCTGAGTTTTGGGTGTTGAGTGGATTGGGTTCGAAGCAGAGGAGCTGCTGCCATGCAGTTGCTTATCGTCTCAGTGTAGTTCAACCCAAATCATAACGTTTCTGTTGCCAGACAAGGTCTTGTGCTGGTGGTGATCCATAGGTACTGCTATATGAGTTGTCACCAGGCAATATTGCCAAGTGGGGTGAGAATATTCTTGCCTTGAGAGCTTGAGCATGTGTTTTCCATGGCAGTCCTTCATGGAATAAGAATGGTGACTTAACATTAGGTTTGCTACTTAACAAGCCAGGCAACATCTACGACTTGCAAATTCAACACTAATTATGGAATTTAATTTATCCACCCATTTCTCAGCCTCTAAGAGATGTCAGCTGTTAGGGGAAAAAGAATAGGGAGCATTTGTGTGTGTATTTTGTTTAAATTTTGGACAGTTACAAAAACTGAGTCATAAAATGCCATTTAATATATGTTGTTTGCTAGGCTGTACTTTACTGGTACAAATCTCCTACAGTTATTGCAAACAACCTTGCAAAATGTTAAGAATGCTTGTTACTGCTTTAGGTTTTCATTTCAGTTAGGGCATTGTTCATACTCTCTTTCGGTTTCTCTCCTCCCTCCCTGTGCAGTTAGTATAATCATGTATATAGGTAAAGGTTTTCTAGAGTAAGTAGTGACTAGCTGTTGGATGTGGCTGCACTTGAAGTTTATGTTCCATAAATCAAATGCACACGTCCTCTATACAATACATTTCTTCTGGATGTTTTTGTTAACATAAACCAGTATGTTTTCTTCCTCTTTTCTCTTGAGGACAGATTAGTCCTCCACCTACAGCAACCCTCAGCACTCACAGACCTTTCCCTCTAGGCTTTGTCAAAGCTTCATTTCACTGTGGCCTCACCTCTGGCTTGCTAGCTTTTGCAGTTCTCCGTTGAGAGGTTTTCCTTTGTCTGGTCTCCCATGTACGTGTTTTGGTTATATTACAGTACTCTGAATGAGTGGTTTTGAAAGCAGTTGGAGGCACAGCATGCACCACTTCCTGCCTCTGTGCAGTCCGTGTGGTTGTCACGCAGCTCGCCTGGTCACCATCTGCAGCGGGCTCGTACATGGGATATGCCACCACAGCTGGACTGCCTGCGCTTCTGAGAATGCCTTTGAGTTTGCAGTTCCTGGTTTGCAAGATGCTTTGCAGATAAGGTTGAAACTGTCCCTCAGCTGCCCTGAAGAGCAAAAGTGTGTGGATGTAGCTTGTGTGGATGCTCCACTGATACATCTTCTCAGTTGCCTTTAATGGGGAGGGAAACACTGGTTTGAGCCTGGCCTGGTTTCCAGTATGCGTTGCGTCATGTGCCCATTGGACTGACAGGTGAAAAACACAAGATGAGACTGAAGAGTGGTTATCTACCTCACAAGGTAGGCTTACTCTTAAAAGTCAGCTTACCTTGTATAGGTGTTGTCTTGGAGCTGTCTTACAGAAGTCTGCCCTGTGAAGTTTTTGAAGCTCTGCATTCAGAATTCATATCTGAAAATCTTGGCTGTAGGACTTTGAGATATATGTGGTAGTTTATATTTTAGCAGTGTTGCTCTGATTGACATGCAGTGGTGATGTTTATTAGTTTACTAGTCTTGTAAGTCTAGTGGTGAGAGCACGGTATTATGTATGTTTTCACTGACATCAATATTAGTAAGTAGTTACAAGCAAAGATCTCCAGACAGGAAGCTGAACCACAAACAGTGTGAGAATAGGAGGTCCTAGAGAGGAAAAAGGTGGCAGTTCCCCCATACATTTAAGTAGGTTTTGTTTTTTGTGTTCATGATCTAACAGATGTCTTCTTCTTTATGCAGGGCTATAATCGAAGTACAAGATGGCAAGAACCAGCCACAGCAACTATGTCCTTCAGCAGCTAAACAACCAAAGAGAGTGGGGCTTTCTGTGTGACTGCTGTATCGCTATCGATGATATTTATTTTCAAGCACATAAAGCAGTCCTTGCTGCATGCAGCTCCTATTTTAGGATGTTTTTTATGAACCATCAACACACTACAGCCCAGCTGAATCTAAGTAACATGAAGATTAGTGCTGAATGCTTTGATCTTATTTTACAGTTCATGTATTTAGGAAAAATTATGACAGCCCCCACCAATTTTGAGCAATTTAAAGTGGCCATGAACTATTTACAGCTATATAATGTACCTGAATGTCTAGAAGATATACAGGATACAGACTCATCTGGTTTAAAATGTTCATCTTCTGCTTCTAGCACCCAGAATAGCAAAATGATATTTGGCGTGAGAATGTACGAAGACACGCTTGCTAGAAATGGCAGCGAAGCAAACAGGTGGGGCATGGAGCCGCCAAGTTCAACAGTAAATACATCCCATAACAAAGAGCCTGATGAGGAAGCTTTGCAGCTAAGCAGCTTTCCCGAACAACTGTTTGATGTCTGCAAAAAAAGCACCACGTCCAAATTCTCTCACACAAAAGAGCGCGTGTCCCACTCGCGCCGCTTTGGAAGAAGCTTCACCTGTGACAGCTGCGGGTTTAGTTTTAGCTGTGAAAAGCTGCTGGATGAGCACGTGTTAACGTGCACTAACAGGCATTCCTACCAAAGTGCCAGGTACTACAGTACTGAAAAAATAGACTTTAATGAAAAGGACTCTACTTCTAAAGTAATCTCCACACAAACAGACAAATACAAGGGGGACTCGAGCCAAGCGGCGGACGATTCTTCATCTCCTGTGTCAAACATCACAAGCAGAAAAAGCAGCACAGTTGCCTCCGAAACATCAGGTGAAGAAGGAAGTAGAGCCTCTGAGAGGAAGAGGATTATTATCAAGATGGAACCAGAGGACAATCCTGCTGATGAACTGAAGGATTTTAATATTATTAAGGTGGCAGATAAAGACTGCAATGAGTCCTCCGACAATGATGACCTAGATGATGAACAGGAAGAGCCGCTTTACAGATACTATGTTGAGGAAGAGATCAGAGAGAAGAGAAATGCTCGGAGGACTTTAAAACCCCGTTTATCCATGGATGAGGATGAAAGAAAGTGTTTGAAAAGTCCGCGGCACCTTAACAGGAAAGCTCCTTCAGTGCAGGAAGACGTGGAGAATGCTCCCTGTGAACTTTGTGGGCTAACAATCACCGAGGAAGATTTGTCCTCTCATTATTTATCCAAACACATAGAAAATATATGTGCTTGTGGCAAGTGTGGTCAAATACTGGTCAAAGGCAAGCAGTTACAGGATCATGCGCAGACCTGTGGAGAACCCCAGGATCTGACTATGAACGGTATCAGAAATTCTGAGGAGAAAATGGACTTAGAAGAAAACCCTGAAGAGCAGTCGGAAATAAGGGACATGATGTTTGCAGAGATGCTGGAGGACTTCAGGGACAGTCACTTCCCAATGAACAGCCTTCAGAAAAAACAGTTATACAAGCATTCAGCCTGTCCTTTCCGATGCCCTAATTGCGGTCAGCGTTTTGAAACTGAAAACCTTGTGGTTGAGCATATGTCAAACTGCCTGGAGCAAGATCTGTTCAAGAACTCCATGATGGAAGAGAACGAGAGGGATCACAGACGTAAGCATTTCTGCAATCTTTGTGGGAAAGGATTTTATCAGCGTTGCCACTTGCGGGAACACTATACCGTTCATACCAAGGAAAAACAGTTTGTTTGTCAGACATGTGGGAAGCAGTTCTTAAGAGAGCGCCAGTTGCGGCTCCACAATGATATGCACAAAGGCATGGCCAGGTATGTCTGTTCCATTTGTGATCAAGGAAACTTCCGAAAACATGACCATGTACGGCATATGATATCTCACTTATCAGCTGGAGAGACTATATGCCAGGTCTGCTTTCAGATATTCCCAAATAATGAGCAACTGGAGCAGCACATGGATGTTCATCTGTATACATGTGGAGTATGTGGAGCAAAATTTAATTTGAGGAAAGATATGAGATCTCACTATAATGCCAAGCATTTGAAAAGAACATAAGCATAAACATACTGTTAAAGCATTAAGTTGGCAGCAGAGAGAACACCAAAGCAAGGCATACAGTATAGTAGACAAAAAAAGAAAAAAGAAAATAGGTCTTTTTTTTATTATTTTTTTTAAGACCCTTATGCCTGTAGGTGTCTATTTAGGCTCATTAAGTATATAGCTTTGAAAAGCATCATGTGTTTAATTATTACATTTTCACTGTTTCCTAATATAAGTTTCTGTTCTTAATTTTATTGTTTTACTAAGTAGATATACAAATCATTATTTTTAAACTGTAGATTAAAAGCACAATGTTACCCCTTCACTGACTGCTATTAAACAGTTCTCGGATCCATTTCCGTAAGATGAGTGCTTTAATATTTCCATGTGTTGTTTCTTCATGTGCAAATTTTAGACCACAGCCATTAATGTGCAAGAGCATAATTGTTCATAATCCCCAAATTCATTTTCAAAAATGAAAAAAAAAATTATGCCAAGAAATAATTCTTTGCTCTCTGACTCTCTGTAAGGGCAGAGCTGGCTGTCCTGGTCCTCTGCTTCTTGGCTTTGTTGGAATGTGCATCCCAGGGATGAGAGCACATAGGCCCAGTTAAACCTTGCAGACTTGGACTTGTGTGTGCAAAGGGAAAGGGAGTTAATGACTGTCGGGATACCCGAGGAGTTCCCAGCAGAGTGGTCGTTTTCCAGACTTGAAGTTCTAGCAGAACTGTACAACTGACATTGGCATTTCTTTTACTATCTGTACCTGTGTGGGTATATATAACCTGCTTATCCTACTATACAAGGGAAGAGTGGCTGTGGTGGATTGCTAGGAATGCAGAATGGCAATATGAATTGAAGAGTGTGTTTTTCAGCCTAGCTGTAAATGGTGCCTTGCTGCTTGTGTTGGGAAGTTAAAAGTGGAATGGATGGATGTGAAGATAGTCCCATTGCTTGGGCGGGGAGGGGAAGGGGGAGTGTGGCTCATGTGAACTTTAGTCTTTTTGTTTCTTGTTTTCATGATACGTTCTGAATGTTCTGGTTTTCAACAAGAATATAACAAGAAAAGACTGCAGAGCTTGCTTAATAAATGTAAAGACATTTTACACCTTTTAAGATTCCTTTCTGATTCTAGTATAGCCCTAATCTGTGTAGGTTGTCTCTTAATTGAATTTAAAAATCCTACTAAGTACCAGCTGACATCAGTTCAGTGAGGCAGTTTGGCCTTTGAGAGAAGGACCAGCTTTGACTATTAGGCACCAGCTGTCTAAATGTTTGTTAAGTGTGTGATTTTTAATGGGGGGAGGAAAGGTTCCTAATATGTAATGGTGGAGAAAACTATTAAAAAATAAAACCTTGCAGTACTTTCTCCCAGCAGATTTCACTTTATCAGAGAGGGTACTAATGCTATTTCATAGAGAGGAAGGAAAACAATTTAGATCAGCAATTAAGGCAGTTGGACTAGATGATTGTTATAGGTCCCTTCGAACTGAAATACTCTATTCTGTCACCTCACACAGCAGTGGCGGGGTTGAGAACAGGAGCAAAGAACTGAGTCTAGTCCAGGACTTTCATGTGCTTGTCACTGTCAAGAGTTGAGTTTTGATCCCTTGTTGTTTCTTGGGGATTATGAGGGGGATTACAGTGGGTATTGAGCTGTAATGTTAGGCTATTTAGAGAAATTAATACAGTTCAGAATCTCCACTGTAACTGTTTAAATTGGTATGAGTCGCCTTGCATTTGTTCAGTTTTAAATGTGCATTTGAGTTTCTGTTGGTTGGTAGACGTGTGTGTCTGCCCTATGGAGAAGGACCCTGCTGCCAGTCCTCAGTCCTGTGCTAGCAGCTGGCTCCCTGGGCACTGACTGCTTCAGGTGCAGTTCAGGCCTTTAGCATTTTGCCATGACTGCTCAGTCCTGTGTTTTCTTGTATGATGATGAAGCCAACCAAGTCCTGAATAATCTTGGGGCCAAAAAGACCATGGAGATGAATGTGCTCCAACACTTCAATTAGTCCAGAGCTCCCCCGTTAAGATTTATTCCATGTTCCCCATCCCAACCCAGGCTAAAACTCAGTGTGTAAGAGTTCAAATAAGCATGATGGGTATTTTAATGCTTTTTAGCACTGGAATCAGTGTTAAGGTGATTATAAGATATTAAAAAGACAAAATATTTAAATATAATGATCATCTTAAAGATGAACTAGTTAGTCAAGTGCTGTAGTGGAAGAGTTCGGGGGGACCAATAAACCTCACACAACCATTCTCTTGACATGCAGGTTATCCCTCATGGTACCAGCTACGGCTGGATTGGGAAATGCTGCCAATGGAAGCAAGGGAGAACTGGGAGGTGCTGGGGAAGTTGGCAGAAGGTTCTTGTGGCACTGGGGGAGTGGGACGGCTGAGTGGGAGAGGAGATCGTGAGTGGGATGGAGTGGCAAAGTCTGGAGGGGCAGGATTAGAGCTGTGCAATGGGAAGCAAATCCCAAAGGTGGCATGGAGGGGGCGGCTGAAGGCGTGGATGAAATGTCCTGTAGACCAGAGTGAGAATGACTCAGCCTGGCTGGGGGAGCTGTCAGCCCCGGTGATCAGCTCACTACAGCACAAACTCAGATTGCGTAGCAAGTACAGCCAGCCCCTGTGCTGGAAGGGCTGTGGTGGCACAGCAAAGCCTAGATTGAAGACTTCATTGAAAAGGAGGAGGTGACCTCCATGAACTAAGAGATTGTTCCTCAATACAGTGAAGGGCTAAGGGTGATTTATGGAGACTCCTGCTCAGGGTCAGGAGCCCTTGTTTACAGTGTATTAGTCTGAACTTGTCCCAAAAACGTTTCACAAAAAAGTTACTTCGTAGTGTAAGTAGACTTGCCAACTACAGAAGTTAAATGGATGAACTGGGAATGATGGTATTTATGTGTACCATCTAACTTTGCAAACACCTCTGAATACCTTTATTTTCAATTATAAGCTGTGTTGTAGTAGCCTTTCAAAGGAAAGTTTGTTAAACCTTTCCAAATGAACTTGAATTAATGTTTTTCCTGTTCCTGTGAAACAAAACTGAGTGCCTTGGAGTTCACGTGTATGAATGTCCAATGTAGGGCTCAAAAAGAGCGTGAATTGCACTGCAGGGAGTTTAAGAGTGGATCTACTTGTATGTAGGCAGAGAAAAACAGAATGACTGAAGTAGCCTGAAAAGTGATCAAGGGGAATATAGAGAGCAAATCAAAGGTACTAAGGCATAAAGAGGATAGCCTGGCTTGCAAATAGATTGGGAGAGTGTTTATGGTGAGGTGTAGTATCATGGGGCGAACAGCATGGGACTGTTGAAAAAAAGGCCAGGAGCGAAGGGCGGTTGTGAAGGGGAAAAGAGGTAGGTGCTGAGGCAGCCTGGGGCTGCTTACTCCTGAGGACAGGTGTGTTCTCCCAGAATGGGACAACATCTGCAGGAGAGTGAAATGATGGTGTTTCAGCATTCCTACCATGATAAGCATTACTTGCTGTGGAGACAGAGCGAATGCAGACCTGAAAAAAAAACCAAAACAATTGCAGTTACGGTATCTTAGAAATCTTTCTGTTACTTGAAAGGTAGTGAAGGGCAGCAAAGAATACTACATTTAGAATTCTGTTTCCTCTAGCAAATTTGTACTTCCCAGTCATCATAACGTAGCTCCTTTGCATCTCCTTACTGCGCTACGTGGTCCGTTGGAGTGTAAAAGCACTTTATCTTTGAGAGTGGAGGTGTAAGCATACCACATTGCACAAGGCATAGCCAGAAAGAGAAAGACCAGCTGGATGCTTTGACTTACATTTTAAAGTGTTTTTTTATTCTTATTTTTGGAGGAACCTCTCTGTGTTTTGTTGTTCTCCTCATTTTGGCAGTGGTGTGGGCTGCAACCCTGAAAATAATTTATAAATATCCAGTCTAGCTCTTAGCTTTCAGGGTTTACCAAAAGTTAAGAAGAGGGAATTCATGAAGACCTGGAATGAGCTTCAGAATGGCACAAAAGCTGTTAAACTTCTTTCTCAGTTTCAGAGGGAATGTTTCAAATACTGAAAAATACATGTATTTGTAAATGCTTATTGGCAACTTCTGAATTCAAAGAGTATTTACATCTGTGTATAATGATAGTTGTAGCAAACAGGTCTGTGGAGAAACCTTGATTTGAATAGATTGGACTATCAGAATTCTACGAATGTATGCTTTTATTAGGGGACTTACCTATTTAACAGGTTAATGGAGAAAATGAAAGCACTAGACAGAAAATGTACTGCCCATTAAAAATATGTTGTTATAAAAATGAGTAACTACACTATTGTATTTTAACATACTAGTGCTAAACTATCAAGAGTATCTCAGCTGCTGGTGAGGATGTAAGTTTGCTCCTGAAGGCCGTGCCACCTTGAGCCCTGGCAGCCCCTTACTCCTTCCCCACCTCATTTCAGCTCTCGTAGCCTGTGTGTGCCATCCTCTTCATTGTCAGAAAGCACATATTTAGGTAGCTTCACAGTGAACTGAATCAAACAATGGGCTTTTTTTTAATTCCCTGTGGGGCTATTTTTTGGCTGGACCAGTTTCCCGCTGTGCTTCCTTCTCCAGCTCTATGTCAGATCTTGTGCTAGCACAATGGAAGGGGTGACTTGAGGGGAGAAATAAGTGGCTGGGAGGGGGCTCGTTTGCTTGAACCAGCTGTGCCAGCACTCAAAGCACATCCCAAGCTTAACTTGGTCTCTGTGTCCCCCAGTCATCTTCGTGGAAGCTGAACTCTTACATTCA